TGTATGTTTATTTCTAGTGACCCTGAGTCTTGAGTACGCACTGCTGCCACGCGCTGGGGTGCATTCATTCGTGATTGTGGTGATGGAGATGGAGGGTTTTCGACGATCTACACCATTCATGATACTATTACTAGCCATTTTCTGTATTCAAGTACTGAAGAGTCAAGGTAAGCCAGGGATCTACGTAACCGTGCGACTACTTTCTGCAATAGAACATTTTTAGTAGTGTGTACTTGAGTAGGTAACATCTTCCAATCTCTTTTTTCCGTCTCCGATTTCATAAAATGAAAGTCGGTTTTGTATTTGAGGTGGTATGTTTAGACATCCCTTCTTTTCGGTGTAAAATCTAGAATAGAAGTACATACACAAGAGACATAAATACAATCCATCACCACACCCGGGCATCACAAATAACACGTAACAACATATTTAGTACAAAACATGTTGACATTGAAGCGTTGAACTTCTTCCTTTGCGATTACTAGAGAAGCATGTTGATACGACCATCGCTGTGGATTTAATATTATTTCTGTGTTTTTTTTACTATAATTTGTCGATTTACCATGACATGTCATTGGGATGTACCTTGTTATATAATTACATTGCATTACCCCCGTGTTAATCAGTCACGGAAACCAAATACAAATGCTCTAAGCTCGGACCGCCCTGCACATTCATTTATTTCGTGATGATCGTGCCATTTCTGCTGACAAGACATTGGTGCTTGTTATGGTACAGTTTACTTCTAAGTCACGAACAAGTAAAAACGTATACAAATCAACGATTCGTAATTAACCAACTGAACGCTATACAGACAAAAGTTGAACTTGAATGCAACAATATCCGCACGGGAATAAACAACTGGGTTGCTTTTTTTAAAAATTATATATCGCGGTGTAAATCTCATTTAACTAGATCGGTGTTTTTGTATCCGTCTACGGCCTTGTCACAACGCCCACCGTTGACGGTATACAAACAAACGATCATCAGTTATATTGAACGATTCATAGTCAATTCGTCCCGCATTCGTCCCACAAGTCGATTTGTCCCAATTCACATTCGTCCCACGAATCAACTCGTCTCAATTCACATTCGTCCCACGAATCGACTCGTCTCAATTCACATTCGTCCCACGAATCGACTCGTCTCAATTCACATTCGTACCACGAATCGACTCGTCTCAATTCACATTCGTCCCAATTCGAATAGTGGCGAACAAGGGAAATGATTGTTTCCATTACTCGTATATAATTAGAATGAGAGTGTGCATGGTTACCATATGCTAGCGATTGTACTTGTCGTAAATCCTTACTCTCTGCAATAGATCACAAGTGCAAATATATTTTATTGTTTTTAGTCCCCGTTCGGACGAAGACGGGGACTTATAATTCGGTCTCCGTCCGTGCGTGCGTCCGTCCGGAGTCATATTTTAGAATCCTTTGGACCGATTCCGTTCATTCTTTGCATGTGCCTAGTACTTTATGTGGGACATATGCACATGAGTGGTTTAGCGATTCGATTCAAAATGGCCGACTGGCAGCCATCTTATTTTTTAAAAATGTATTTCGGACAGCTTTGTCAGTTTTCATTTAAATTTGGTACATATTACTATATCTCTGTCACCCATGTATCATTTTCATTGATATTTAGCATTTCATAAATGGATACATGTACATGTCAATTCAATTTGCAATTTGATCAAATTTGGCCGACTGGCGGCCACCTTGTTTGTTTAAAATGTGATAACTTGAATATGCTTTCACTATTTTTTTTTGTTATGTCTTAAACCAGAGGGGTAGTCACGCAACACATGTTCGAATTTGATGTAAATAAACAATCTGTTGTATACACCACTTGGGACTCAAGTTTCAAGGACATGCCCGCGACAACCCCTCCACTTTAATATGACGAGCACAAAGAGAACTTTCAAAAATTTCACGGGGACTGTGTCATTTTCAATGACTTGTATTATATTATTTTACATTGTCTAAACTTTTTGTATTTCGGCATTCCCATGATGTATCGTTGGAAGGAAAACGAATCCAACGGGTCTTTGAGGCTTACTTTCAAAAGATCGTTAAGGTTATTACGAGGATACCGAAAAGTATGCACTCAGACAGTACGTGGTCGTATCGTCTTCCGCTGCGAGTACTGTCTTTGTGCATACTTTTCGGTATCTTCATAATAACCTCAAATTATTTACACAACAAGAATATAGTAATCAAATGTATCAGTCATTTTTTTTGTTTGTCTGTCCACAGACCCATGCGCATATGGTGACCTTTACGGCAGATCCCTGGTGTTTGAATCCGCTGCCAATAACTTCGTGATGCTTCGCACGTCCTCTGATGACATCACGGAATTCACCATCTGCATGTGGATAAGAGTTGGCGAGAATGATACGCTGGGTACTATACTACAATACTCAGTGCCTTGGAGAAATAAGGAGATTCTGTTTTCCATGGAGGCAGTG